GCAGTGCCACTTTTGATGGGAGATGAGCATAGACTGTAGGCAAATAAGAAAAAGGTAACGGTTCGCTATGAGAGAACATGTCGCCAGTGAGAGGCAAGTTGAGGAAGAACAGAATAAGGTAGAAACTCATTTTTTTTCCTGATGAAAGAAGGGAGTCTACTCTTTCTTTTGGTGTGTTCGGTGTCTACATAGTCATAGCACAAACTATTCTGTGGCTCTTGAAAAATCACTCAAAATGCTCAAAAAACTCTGGCAGTATGGGACTCTGTTCTGAAAATGGCTGGCAGTCAATGAGTTAATGACAAATGCATAAACATAAACATAAACTTCCACCGGACGTTTAGGATCAGGCTCACTTTGAAGTAGTGGAAGCGGAAGGCGTCCATCTTGTTCCTGAAGGCGTAATAAGCGAGCGCCGCCATGACGACCGCCAGCAGCGGGAACGCCACGGCCGCCGCCAGGGCGCCGCCTGAGTGGGCGGAGCCACCGGCCCTCACCTGGAGACCATAACAGTATTAATATTACAGCAGAGGCTTTATTACGATGCCTAAAGATACAGATTATACAACATTCGGAGTGAAATTTCCAACAAAGAACGAAGTCATAGAAAAATTAAATAAAATAAAAATAAGTAAGATAAGTTAGGTTGAAGTTAAAGGGGAAGTTAGATTTAAAAAAATGAGAAAAATAGAAAAAAAATATATATATACGATAATATATAAGATACGGATTTTACAACATTCAGAGTGAAATTCGATCAAATATTCGACTCGTGCCCGAAGTAAATTTCCAACATACCTCAAAGTCATCAAAAATATATAGAAGATAAAATTCAATATAAATAAATAATCTAAGTTAGTTTAAAGTTAACAGTGAAAACTGGATTTAAAAAATTACAATAGAATAGAAAAATAGAAAAAAAATTATATTCGACTCTTGCCCAAAGTAAATTTCCAACATACTACGAAGTCATAGCTAAAATATATATAAGATATAAAAATGTAATAAAGATAAATAAGATAAGTTAGTTTGAAGTTAACTTTGAAAGTTA